GTCACTAGATCTAGTGACAAAGTCGCTAAATGTGACCCATTGAGGTCACAGGTCTTTTTGCCTGAGCATCGAAGGCTTGCATTTTTTTCAGCAAGTAAATATTTATTAGTTATTTCAAGCTTGTGGAGCAGACCAAGTCAGATGACATTACATCTTCCAGGATCCAGCTTTGTGAATCCAGGAGTACCAAGGCCCTACCTTCAGCTGATATCCATGAACAAACTAGAGGAACAGACACTCACATTCTCACACTTTTGAGTCATCGGCTAACCTAACGTGCATGTTTTTGATCTGTGGGAGAAAACCAGAGTTGGCTTCTCCCTTCTTCAGGGGTCGCAGTGAATGAGAAAAGATTTGCCAAGTGTTTGCTTTCAGTCGCCCTTTCCTGACGCAACCTGGGCTCAAACCTGCAGTCTCAGGATAACAAGACCGTAGCTCTGACCACCAAGCTCCCACAGCTCCCCACTGGGATAAACTGGTTCTAGGAGAAAACTCCCATGTGCACACAAACTCCACTGTTTGTGTGTCTGATTTTTCAAAGGGAAGAGCTGCACTGCTTGCTGCGATCAAGTCAGAATAATGTTAAGTTTGGTGCAGGATGACAGCTTGTATTCTGAGACCCATTCCACTCTAAAACCAATTCATACAAACTGGTTTTGGAGTTGTACTCGAAGCCCACCCCTTTCTATATGAGGGGGCCTGTACCCCAGGTCTCGACAGAAAAAAAAATTTAAGATTCAGGTCCTTTCAAATTAGGCATTAGTCTCTATAAAATATGAAAATTAGTTTTTATAAAAACACAAACAGGCTACGTTCTGCTTCAGTACACTGAGAGTCTGCTGGCTTGTGTGTATTTTTGGTACAACAATTTAGCCAATACACTCACTGAGGCACACTTTGCGTTGGGGTACACTTTAATGTCAGAGAAATGAATGCTGCATGCATAAATGCAGTGTTTGTTGCAGAGAAACGTACAGTGCAATAAGGCTTTGGTAATGAATGATAGGTACTGGATACAAAATGAGGTTACTGTTTGACCAGCATCACTTATATACTATGAGTTTATTAGTTTATTATAATATTTTTCTTTTTTTTTCCTCTTGAACAACCGTGAAACAGCTCAGAGCGACAACAGTGCTCTCACCACAGACGACTTCACTGTCGTAGATTCGTCTGTCAATACTGAAAAAACACACAACACTGAGCTGATGGGCATCGAACACATCACTGATGAGACTAATCCAGCTCTCGTACAAGTAAGTATTAATGCCATGTCAACAGTAGGACTCTCTTTTATTTTCAGGGAAGTTATTTATACCTTTTCGTCATGTGTGTTTGTGTTTGTGAGGCGGGAAACGAGTCAGAGTTCACACATCCAGAACTCCCGTCAGAAGACTCCCTGTTTGTTCATCCGTCCTGCGAGGAGCACAACACTCAGTCCACTTCCCTCCACACTCAGGTGCTTGTGATCACACCCAGTCACAAATACAGACATTTTTCTGCTGGCTCGCTGTCTTTCCTCTGAACTCACATCTGAAATAAAAGTGAGAGATTGTCTGAAAATAGCCGGTACGCTGAAGCAGACGAGCTTTAGTCTTAACAGATGGCAGGTGTTCATCTTCCCTGCTGTCCTGGCTCTGTGCTCAGCATCACTGATTAAAATGTGTTTGTCCGACCTGCAGTCTCTGCTGGACAGCCAGGACTTTCAGGAGAGGAGGATCAATAGAAAAGCACAGAAACTTCTGAGTGCTCTGAAAGTAAGTTCAGTATTCAGACACAATAACATCCGTCTCACCTAGGCATGGGACAGTATGAAATTATGACGGTATGATAAYCTTGGGCAAAAATATCACRGTTTYGCGGTACRAYGGTWTTRTGATTACAGCTCTAAAARTTTTGTTTTGAAATTTGTATTTAAAAACAAAAAAGAATTAACTTTCTATTATCATATTCAACTTTAATTATCTTTGGAAGCTGTTTTTAGATCTCAGAGGTGTTATGCTGAAATTTTATTTACCTGTGTGCATTTATACTTRTGATTTTTAGCACCTAATGCAATTAGATTATCCTGATTAAGTTTACATCTAGTAAGATAACTGTTCTTCTACTGCTTTATTATTTAAGACAAATCAGTGTATACTGCACAAGTCTTTTTATTCAAGTAATCTACCACATTGGAGGTTTTTATTGTGTTTTAAATTTCAAAAGGGTTTCTGACGTAAAGATTACATAATTATATGCACACAGAAACAAGAACTCACAACTATGAATGYGTGTTTCTGAAATGCACGTAAAGCTAACGAGCTGCTTGGCTAAAGGAGGCATTYAGTTTTATCAYCTTTCACTTMAAACTTATCAAATACACAATCCAACAACTCAAACTGTTTTCAGACAAGTTGTGATCGGCGCATTAAGCCACAGCAACACGGTGATRTGTTTCACAATCTGATGCTAAAGTTAGCTCGTTCATTTCAAGATAGCATAAGTTTACCTGGAGCTGYGATMATGTTAGACGTGTTTCTTCCACGGTCCACATTGCTGTCRTCTTTACAGAATGCTAAGTATTTTCAAATAGCTGGCTTTAATCTTTTAGACAGGGAAAAAGTTGGGGAACTCTCTTCTTCAGCCACCATCACACAAACCCCCACAGAGCTGCCAGTGCTGACAGGCAGTCTGCTGCAGGGGAGGGGTCGTGGGGGAAAGTCTGCAGTGAGACAGACTAGAGGAAAAATAAAAAAAATCCCTTTTTTTTTTCATTTTAGTGGTTTTGAAACCGTGACTTTTTCATATCATGGTATACCTTGAAACTGGTATTCGGCCCATGCCTAGTCTCACCTGATTACTTTTTCTGTAAAGGTAGAGCAGTGTGTTTTTTTCTGTTCTACTAAATGTAGCTTCTTTTCTTTAGTTATTATTTAAAAATCTGTAATGACAGGAGTTTGAAGGTGAAAGGAGGCACTTGATTCAGGAACATTGTTGTGTGTTGTTGTGCAGCAGGTCCAGAGCAGCAGAGACTCAGCATTCAGCCTGCAGGCTCTCTGTGAAGGAAGCACTCGATCACATGCTGCAACCACGTTCCTCTGCCTTCTTCATCTGCAGAAACAACAAACAGTCCACCTGCATCAGAGCGCTCCCTACCAGGACATCAGCGTGACACCTGGACCCAAGTTCTACAGTTAGAGAAATCAGAGTCAGCTGTGCAGCTTGTAGGTGCTGCACATCTGTGTTGTGTTCAGTTCCTCTCCCAGGTTAAACCTGCTTGAAACGAAAATGTTTTCTATCAAATGTTTTGCTCTTCCATCGTTTACTTGAAAACACTTTAAAAGAATATTTTTCCTACAGCGTGTTGTCAGACTGTTTTTACATCATAACTAAAAACACATATTTACCAACCGCAAGCATTTTAATACAGATAAAACTTTAATTCTGTTACATTTTTTACTGTGTTTTTACCATTTATCTGTCAGATCTCATGTTCTGCAGCAGTTACTTTGGTCGTAATGTCCCTATGTGTTCTGTATATGTTTTTATATTTGTTCAAAGAAAAGACCTTTAAAAGTCACCTTTGTGTGAGATCAGCTCCATTCCTGGGGTTTTAGCTGAGAACAAAAACATTTTATTATTTATAGCTTTTCGTCTAGTCTTTTCAACTTTGTTTGCATCATTACTGTAACAAATATGTTCAGTGTGAAATGTTACTGGTTTGTTACTGCAGTCGTCGTGTTCAGGCGTTACAGCTGTAACCAGGGATACAACAAAACACAACTTGACATCACATTAAAAAAGTGACCACTTCACTTTGTCAGATTTCTCTCACGTTTTTATAAAATAGTGTTGAAACTTAAGGTTCAGGCAGCGTTTGTTCTTTCTGTGGATTGTAAAAATTTTGTTATAAGCTGTTGAGCATATCTCAATAAAATAAATGCAAGAAAGGCTGGTTTTATGTCAAGTTTTTGTTTGTTTTGGTTTTAAATTAAACAACTTGGTGTTGTAGGTTGGGACCGTCCRGACACCTTGAAAAGTTTGGACAAATTGGAATTAGTTTTTAGTGTTTTACAGGGACTTGTAGATATGGAAAAAGAAAATAGTCTGCTTTAAACTCCTTTTTCCTGTTGTAGTTATCCGAGCACAACCAGTGATTTCTACTGCAATCAATGCAGCCAGTTACTGGAGGCCTGAGGTCAGATTCCACCTGTCTGACTTGACTAAGAGTCACTTTCTTGACCCTGACTGGCCCACTGGAAAAATAGGATTTTTACATGCAAACTGGATGAAAAGAGGTCGAGTGACTGATTTAGACCCTTTACCATTACAGAACCCAGAATAAAACTTAGAAGTAACTCACCATGAATCAGTGAAAATCCCTGAGACGTAAATCAGTTTTATGCACCAGGCAAATGTTTAACTGTCTGCATGTATATTTTTATTTGTACTTTATATCGTGTTCTTTGTTTTAAGTTATAACTAATCTGAACCTTCAGCCGTGGTTCTGCTGTGATCATGGTACCACTGGAACGGACGAGGCCTTTCTTTGATCTCCTGACATCAGATCAAATTTTTTTTAAAAATTATTCTAACTAGCATGTTATTACTATAGAAAATATAGCAATAGACAGAGGTGTAATGAAATACATTTACTTTGTTTTATTCATCCATCCATTATATTTTACCCACTTCTTCCTTTTTAAGGTCACTGTTGCCCAAATCCTACAGTCACTGCAGGGTACACCGACGAGCAGTGGTGGGCAGCACTAATCTAAAAATGAGTTCCACCAGCCCTAAAACACTAACTCAAATATTTAGGTCCTCTAATTCTAAAGCACTAAAATAACCCAGTCAACCCATGAACATCCTTCAACAGACAACATGAGTCACATGTTGCTCTCTTAAGACTTATCATTGACATCCCACAGCTGTGTTTAAGCTCATATATTGTCACCTAGTAAATAAGTGACATGAACAAAAGTGACAGTTTTCACCCTCAGCTTTAAACATTAACATTGATCAATAACGTTGATAAACCTCCGTGCTTCTAAATTTAGCCTATGAATTTAGCAAGTGAAAATCCACTAATAAATTTTAAAATTATCAAAAGCCCTAAAGCACTAATCAGGAAATTAGTTCCCCTGTTAGTGCTTTAGGGGGACTGTACCCACCACCTACGAGCAATTTAACAATTAGCCTAACATTTATGTTTTTGTTCTGTTGGAGGAAACCCATCATGCTTGGAGAGAACATACAAACTCTAACTAGAAAGGTCCTGGGCTGGGATTTGATCCAGTGACCTTGCTGAGAGGCAGTAGCTCTACCCACTGCACCATCATGC